TCCAGCAGTATACTGGAAAGCTTAGTTTTCTTCAGTATGCTTTTCATAACCCTACACTACCCGCTTATTAATTTATAGAATTTTATAGCTATATTACCTAATGTTTACTAAGTGCTCATTACATATTGAACATTGTTCTATGCACTACTGAACTACTGTTCTTAGTCCTTCTATCTTCCCTTATAAATAGATACAATTTTCTCCTCACTTATAGATGAGGAAACTGAAGTTTAGAAAGTTTAAGTAATTTGATCAGCAGCATAAAATCAAGAGCAAGGGGTGCGATAGCGAGAACTGAATGGGTAGTCTAATTCTGGAACTTCAGTGCCAATTCACTTTCTTCTCAACAATGCCATAAATCAACAATAACTAATCAAGATATTGAAACTCTTACCTCTTTGCTGCTTCCATCGCCTGACTTGCTCTGAACCTCCTTATTATCTAGATTTTCTACATCAGATTCTCCTGAAGCCATTGGTATAGTTTCAGAGATACTAGGACTGGGGATAAGTGACTGACTCTCATTTTCAGCCATTGTGTTTTTCTCTGTGCTACTGCTCTTTTCCTTATCCTTGTGGAAATCTTGGGTGTTGCTCAAGTCAGAAAGGGTATGGTCAGAAATATTCTCTTTAACATAGGTATCATTCACATGGTCCATTGGCTCCTTGGGAACATTTTGCTTTTTCCGTAATATTTTAGAAAGCACACAGTTTACTCCTTTCTTGATCATTGCCAATGCATGCTGCAGATTTTTTGCTTCATCATTCTCTTCAGCTGTTGCAGCATTGTATGAACTAAATGAGCTCACCAAGGCCAGAAACAGGTAAAGTATCTAAAGGAGGAAGTAAATGAAAGTAAGTGTATCTCATTTTTGTTTCCTTTTAAACAACAACAACAACAACAACAAAAAATCCTAAAAAAAAAAAACTAAAAAAAAACTAACCTGAGATTTAAAAGCAGCATATGAACTACAATACTATTTAGGCTATTCAGTTCTTATTCATCTAAAATGGGTTAGTTGCTGTGTTAGGGGTTTATAGAGCCAGAACTCATCTTAAGGTCACAACATTCTATATTTCCTTTTTATAGGTGAAAAAAA